TATTGTATGTTGGCACATTTATTTGAATTTCTCGCGGAATTGCGAAAATTATGAAAAAGTTATTTATAATTATAGGTAAATGAGCAGAAAGCTTATTTATGCCTAGTATTGTCTTTTCGCGTTGGTTCTGTTTTTTTTTTCTTTGCTTTACGTGAATTATTAACAATTTCTCGGCGGAGCGATTAAAAAACACGTCCGCACAGGTTGACAGTCAATCATAACCTCAATATTTGAAGTCGATGATAGTGATGAAGATGATGATGCTTTGACATATCTTCAATAATAAACTTTTATAATATACCACACATTGACAAGTTTTAACTAAGTTTTTTTTTTTGTTATTTAGTTTTAGTTATTTTTCATACAGATATAGTTTATTTCTTAACAAAAACCGTATAAATCAAGTATCAAACTTCGTGCAATATTTAAAAAAAATATTTATTTCTTAACAAAAACCGTATAAATCAAGCATCAAACTTCGTGCAATATTTAAAAAAAAATTACAAAGTTTCGTATAAATTTAAAACTTTTGGATTAGATTTCTTAGAATATTTTTGAGTACGCAGTTTTGTAGCCCTCTCAATTTTAATAAGAATAAGTTTGAAGTAGCTTCGACTTACCGCTGAGTTTTGGTATTTTTTGTTGTTGACAGAGTTGTGCATTTTCTAACACACAAAGTAAGTATTATCGACGATTTTTAATACCCGAGCGCACTTGTGCACAAGGGTATTATAACTTTGTTCACATAACTGTTGTTTGTAACAGGCAAAACGAATCGAGATAGATATAGACAAATGTATACATAAATGATCAGAATGAAAGGAGAAATCGGTTAAGCGGTGACCGTCTGTCCGTCTGTCTGTGCACACGATAACTCGAGTAAAAATTTAGATATCTTAACGAAACTTGGTACGTGCACTTCTGTCGGGCGTAGGACGGACGGTATTGAAAATGGACAAAATCGGACAATAACCACGCCCACATCCCATATAACGGTAATTTTCAGAAATACGAAAACTGCGATATTTTAGTAACTACTAAAGATTATTCACTCAAAATTGATGTTTACAATAATTTTTAGACGAAAAATAAGGATGTTAAAAATTTTTGGAAAATGGGCGTAGCCACGCCCACTTATGGTTACATGTGTATAGCTTGGTAACCGCTGCACCAATTTCTTCCAAACTTAGCACAGTTGGTGGCCTTGCTACAGCATACCAAATGGCTAAAAATTTTTGAAATCGGACAATAACCACGCCCACATCCCATATAACTACGGTGACCATCCGTTCTGTTTTTTGCAGGACCGTATTGTTATTTAAAGGTCTGTCCCGCGTAGTTTTTCAAAACAGAAAACCCCCAAAATGTACTGATTTTTTCCAAGTGTCCTGCCTTTGTCCCGCATTTTCTTCGATATTTTAAAATTTGCTTTTCCTAATCGAAATAAAAGCAGCGTCGATAACTAATTGATAACTAAATAAGTTTAAGCTGGTTCAACCAATCAATGCGTTCTCAACTTTGTACGGTTATGGGCAATGGATGATGAAAAAACGAAGACCAGCATCAAATATATCAATAACACTGTTCTACAAATTTTGTGGTAATCGCTTAAGAAAAAAAAAAAAGTTTTCCAAGCCAATTTTCTTTTCAAAGAAGCGTTTTCGTAATTTTTTCGAAAAACGTGTTTTTGGTACATTTCGGAGCTATTCGTCAATATCTGATGAAAAAATTATTCAATCAACATAAGCGACCTACAGTCCTCTTACAAAAATATATTACTTTGCCGATTTTGATGAAAATGATTAGTGTTACAAGCGACGAAAATCGAAAAAAAATAAATTTCAATCATTTTATTTTTACAGTAAATGAAAATCTGATGAGATATGTAGATGTTACGGAACACAAATCTGCACAAATTATATACTTTTGCAAAGGGCCCATCAATACCTTTCGAGCTGTAGGTCGTTTCATGTGATATTGACGATTAACTGAAAAAAGTACTAAAAATACGTTTTTCGAACAAATCTCGAGAACACTTCTTTGAAACCATGGGTATTATTTTCGTGTTCAACGACCCAAAGTTTGCCTAAAAAATTTGCTTTACAGAGGTTCATATTTCGTGTAAGGTAATATGTAATATGCCTTATTATAATTTCATTACAAAAAGAGTAATACCAATGAAGCAAATGTGATTTATGTTTAAAGTTTAAAATTACATTAATAATTAAGAAATATACACTCCTCGTTGTTTGAAAGCGCACTCTTTTAATACTTACTAGTTACAGTTTTCCTTTTGATTGTTTATTATTCATTAATTTTTTATAAAAGATATAGCATATTCTACGTCTAAATCCGATTTTAATAATTTTCGAAAATTAAAAAAAAATCAACATAGGGGCGGAAATTTTTTTTTGTTGACGGTGCTGCACATTTTCTTCCATGTAAAAATTTTGTCAAGCATACTTTGTATGGAAGAAAATCAAAAAAGGGTGAGCTATTCAAATGACGAGGAATGTATATATGTATGTAATATATTTTTGTTANGAAGAAAATCAAAAAAGGGTGCGCTATTCAAATGAGAAGGAATGTATATATGTATGTAATATATTTTTGTTATTTTTATACTACGCAATTATATGTAGGTACATTTTTTTAATAATTGTCCTGCATTTTCAAAATATATTTGTGGTCACCGTATCTATAACGGTAATTTAGAGAAATACAAAATCTTCGATAAATCAGTAATTTCTTCAAAATTGATGCTTGAAACAATTCTTTACCAAGAAACACGCTTATCATAAAATTTTGGATAATGGGCGTGGCACCGCCCACTTATGATTACATATATGTATCTCGGCAGGGGCGCACCCAGGAATATATTTTAGGGGGGGTTTTATATTTCTGACGATATATCACCGGAATATACTGAAAATTCTCTTCAGATAATACGCTCTTTGAAATACATTTATGCAAGTTTTATGTACAGTATGTAATAAATAAATAAACGGTTTAAAATTCATAAACTGCACTTTATTTACAAAAGATTAACAGAACTCAAACATTTTTAACCGACTTCAAAAAAAGGGGAGGTTATCAATTCGTCGGAATACATAACCTGGGACCACGTGAACCGATTTCAATAATTCTTTTTTTATTGGAAAGATGACACCTCAAGGGTCGTCCGGTAATTTGGTTTAGATCCGATGATTGGATCATGAAGAAATTAACGGTACACGTAAATTTGTATATGAGAATTGAAGTCGGTTGTGTTCTTTCCTTAAAAACTACTTGTTTGATAAAAAGTTCTATAAACTCAAGATGAGCTCAACTTTCAAAAGTACCTAATCAAAAATTTTAAAAAAGAGTTAGGAAAAATAAATTTATTGATTCCAAGAAATTTTTACACTTTTATGTTAATTTTTTCGATTTCTGGTTTCTGGTTTTCGATAGAGATGGTGATTTTTCACGATTTCACATTTTTTAATATTTCGAATACCGAAAAACTTATCTGAACTCTTAAGAAAAACGAAAAATTCATATAAAACGACGGACAAGAAATGGAAAAGAAATTTTCTTCTACCAAAATTTCTTAAACCAGTTTGCAGCTCTCAAGAAAAAAATGGTCGTATATTATTTTCTCATGCAAATTTACAGCAAAAGCAAAGCGCTTTTATCAAGCAACAGAAATTATAATAAATATTTCTTATGATTTCCTTGAGAGCTGGATTCTTAGCTTTAAGATACAGTTTGTATTTGAGGTTATTAGCTTTAGGGGTGGTTTGAATCCCAAAACCCACCCCTTGTGTGCGCTAATGTATCTCGGTAACCGTTCCACCAATTTGTACCAAACTCGGTATAGTTATTATGCTTGCCACATAAAAGAAAAACGTTGAAAATTATTGAAATCGGACTAAAATTATGGCCGCTTTTCATACAACGGTAAATTTCAGAAACTTCAATATTTCGAAATTTAGGGACGCTAATTTACTCAAAATTTATACACTCTGGCTTACCTTGTAGCGGTAGCTTTCGGAAAGGTGAAAAACATATATTTAATACTTGCGCCGGGTATTTAATGTTCGGCTCCGCCCGAACTTAGACTTTCTTACTTGTTTATTAATACAAATAAATTTCGCCGGCAAAACGTTTTTTTTGCTAACAGTAGATATTTACATACTTATGTATAGGAAAATATTATATCCCCTTTAGAAGGTCTAAAAGCTTTAGTTATGGCAGTTATGGAGGTCTCCCTGTCACAGTGTGGGACGGTGCGCTTTCCGTACATTGTTGTTATCCGGAGAAGATCTGAAACAGATTTATATTTCGGATTGTTTTTCATATTCGGAAACCAAAATTGTAAACATTCAAAATGAAAATTTAATGGGTTCCGTCATCAGCAAGAACTAATAAAGAATGCAGAGTGTTTCGTATTACTAATATAATTTCATAAATTCTCGTTGCTTGTTTTGTAGGGATGTCGGAAAAACATTGATGTTTTACTCGATGTATAAATAGTCGATTTATCGTGGCATCGATGTTTTTTGAAAACTGACATCTCTAGTACAATGAACCGGCATGTTCAAAATTAAAAAAGAAGCAAGTTTGGCCAAAAAATGTAAATGGCTATAAAGTTACGTTAGAATCATAATTAGCTCAATTACAGTAATTAATTTAAAATTTTGAATAGTTTTGCTTCTAATATATTTTGCTGCGAAATACTTAATATCTGTAAAATCCTATGATGTTGATTGATTGATGTATTCCCTTCGCTGTATCGAAAAATGTCGATATACTTTTCGCTGCATCGAATCAAAGAAATACATCGATGTATTTTTGAAACTGACATCCCTATTGTTTTGTTTTATTTTATTTCTCATAACTCTGAAAAGGCATCTGCGAAGTGCAGAATGAAAGCGTATTCAATAAAAACGAAAATCAGGAAAATATCAGAAAAGTATCATTTCAGTGCGAAGACCTATACGAAAAATATCTACAGGAAAATGTATTCCGACAATATTGTATTTAATTATGTACGAGTATTTTGTTAGTTGTATTAAAATTTAAATAATAAATAAACTTCTTCTTTTTTCAGGGTCAATGCTCCGCCGGCACATTGCCTGTGGCATGGGTTGATGAAGGCCCCGGGCCCCCAGCCTGTCCCATTTCATGTGAAAAGTTAAAGTCAAGCATAGTTAATAATTTTAATACAAAATCTAACAATAATAACAGTAATTTAATAAATAATTATAAAGTAAATATTAAGACACCTGCTGAAAACCATCACGAAAGCGGGAAAATGCTGAAAGCGCGTCGTGACTTGAACTCCTGGAAGGGCAACGACAGCACTGAATACTCCTATGCAGATCAAAGCATGGTTGGTACAGGAATTGCAGAAAGGTCTAGAAAAAATATGGTGAACATAGCATCTGCTTCCTTAGTTCAAACGAAACCTTACCGAGCTCAACAGAACGATAACACGGTATATGCACTCGCCCTTAAACCCGGCAGCCAACAGCACCAGGTCAGCAATAACGTTGTAAAATCGAATAAAAATCAGGCTGAATCTAGAACGCCTAATGACCCTTCTGGTAATATCAATGGTGGATCGAAATCCGAAAGCAACGCTCGCCGCATATATAACAACAAGCAAAAGAAACAGCCACTACAACAACAAAACCAACAGAAAGAACAACAGTGCCTTGATTACTTGGGCGATACGGAGGAGACGAGTCCGGTGCATTTGTGTACATTCAAATCGCCTGCCGAATTGGCGGCTCAGCTACGTTCACTACGTTTACGCCATTGCTGCGAGCGTAATGTATTCAGCGCTCTTCACACAGTCGCCTTAAATGCAACGCTAAGTGGCGGCGTGGAGTGTGTTCGCATTCTTATGGATATCATGGACTTAGATCTACTGGCCACCCGGATCACTTGCGAACTGGCAGAAATACTTTTTCGTTTCGATTGCCGGCAGGTGTATTCACTGATTCATCAGTGTGGTGATTGTAAGGTAAGTATTTACTCAAAATGTATCTCAATATTATTCGTGACCTGTGCCGTTTCAAAATTAGGCCTTTTATCAGAAAGTTTTATAGTTGACTGTTTGCCATTAATCTCTACCTAGTGTGGGCACCAACTCACCGACGTGAACGTACGTTAACGTGTATATATGAAACCACACCATCGTGTACGTGCGACCAGTGTTGCCGTTGCGCGACTAAAGGGACAATTTGGCCCTTTTTTGGCGCCAATAGCCTTTGACCCGACTTTTTGAAAATTTATGTTTTTTGGCCCTTTCCCAAAATTATGTGCGACTGTTGCCCCTTTTCAGAGATTTCTTTAGGAAATGTTAACCATGCTACTAAAAATTATTTCCTCTTGTAAGTACGAAAAAATTAATCACTTAAAACTTTTAAAGGAAATGTGATTTTTCTCCTTCCCGCACCTCGATTTCTGTGCTTTGTTCAAAGCTTGTCCCGCTATTTTCTTTTTAAATTCAACAGCGGAACGTTATAACAGCGAAAATACTTTATAATACATGTGAATTTATTTCTGACTTTGGATCTCAGATTTATTCTTTTACTAGTTAGTAAAGAAAAACAAAAATAATATGGTGACCCTTTTTTCATCAATTACTAATGTGACCAACCGTACTTCTTTCGGAGGTACAGTACTTCTTTTTTCGATTTTGTACTTCGTACTTAGAAGTACAGTCAAATGTACTTCTTTGCGATATTTTGTACTTCAGGAGGGAGATTCTGTAACCAGTTAGCGACCATTTTCGGATCGCTAGGATCCTAGTACGATAACGATTGGAAAATTGTCGCTAACTTACAGAATCTCCTCCAGTACTTCTCCGATCTTTTGGACGATTGTCACATGTATTTTTATTTTTGTATTGCTGTCCATAAGTACATACATACATATGTATGTTCATGGGTATATCAGCAAACCACGCTTGCTTCAGCATAGATACCCAGCCAGCAAAGAAACGTAAATTTTGCCGACAGTGCAGTTTAGTGCCATTTTCCGTGTCCGAAACGAATAGAAAAAAACTCCTACAGTTATCATCAATTTTCGTATCCGGAAAACGCTCGAAACGTTCCAAAAAGAAGATGACATTTGAAAGAAATAATTGTATTTTATTTGCTCAAGCTAAACATTTGAAAGCATGAATGCGTAGTTGGCAGTGGCTGAGTGTGCCGCTATTTGGTAGCTTCCAAAAGGTGCCGAATTCCGTCAGGCGCTTCATAATTTCATTTGATTTCTTTTGAACCATGAAAAAGTATCTGTGAAGTGCAGAATGAAAGTGAAATGAATGAACGAAAAATTCAATCAGACAAATTTCAGAAAACACAGCCGAAAGCGTATCCGTTTCACACACCGTTGTCTGTACATACGTTCCCGCCGCACACTTTAGTGAGAAAACAGATCATCAACGTATCCGGAAATGGAATCAGTAAACGGACAAAAATTCGCACTTCATCCACTTTTTTGTCCTTTTTCGGATCGGTTTTCGGATTTTTTGCTGGCTGGGTATATATTTGTACCCATCCAAACATATGTATGTACGAATATATGTAGGTACACGCAGGCCCGTCGAGGGGGAGGGGGCAAAGGGGTGAATCCCCCCGAGCTCGGGCTTCTTAACGGGCCCGAAATTTCAGAACCATAACTTGTTATTATTTTTTTACAAAGTAATTGCTCCTCTGTTATAAGTTTTTAATATAAATATTATAAATATATGCCAATTCGTGCTGATTATTTCGGACTCTACAAATTAAAGAAAATTATGATATGGCCCAAAACGCGTACTGCTAGAATACGTTTTGGCTCACAGTGCTTTTCAAATACCGCTGAAACTTGCTAGAATACAAATTCCGGATAGTTTTTCTTCTTGCATCTGAAAGCATAAGTACGTGGTAATATTTAATATATACCTGAAATATATTGTACCTCCTGTTCTTCAGTAGTTATGAATGTTTCAACAGCGGACTGTTGCATAAAAATTTTTAGAAGTACTTTTTATATTATTATATTATCCTTATATAACTCATATGTATTTATTGAAATAAAATTAATTTTGAGGTCATTATTTGCAAAAGATAGTTGGGCTGTTACGTTTCAGAAAAAGACTGTTACGTTATCTGTGCGGTATACGTACGTGTTGATTATAATTTGGTTTTTAAATGGCTTGTAGTCTGTTTTATGCAATAAGTAGCATGAATTCAGTAGACTTGCGTATTGACATGTAATCCAAAGAAATTAAGAATATGATAATTATGAATACATATTTGAAAGTTTCTGTTGCTGTGCAGCTGTAGGTCGGAAGTAATTTTCTGCGTAGAATTCGAGCTCGAGCTTACAAATGCTCCAAGATATTGAAGTTTTTCGCGGTTCAGTACGTAAATAAATGTAGTTTATATTTTCAACTTATATTAAGAATTATTTTTTTCTTTTTAGTTTGATATGCTTTAAAACATATATGTAATACTCCTATATTGGGAGTAAGAGCTAGTACCGTCCGAAAACACTACAGTACAGATATATCAATAAACACGTACGAAAGAAAAGGAACACATACGTTTACAAAAAAACATGTACACAACACATATGTATACAAAAACGGCACTCAAGCACACAATACATTGACAAAAACAGTACTAGACTGTCTCGCTCTGATTTCGGAATGCTTACACATTGAGAAGTTAGCTTATTGCCAATATAGAAGTATTACATACATATATGCTTTAAAAGCGTGTTTTTTAGTTTTTTTAGTTCGATTTATTGTTTTCAATATTGACATCGGCATGCTCTAACAGGAAATCGATGATTAGCCGACGTCCTTTTGATATAGCTAGATGTAAAGCAGTAGATCCATTTTTTTGCTAGAGCATTGACTTCAGCGCCCTTTTTTTTAGAAGATACTCGATCATCCTTTTTCCGTGATTACTATTACTAACGACAGCGAGGTGCAGCAACGAGTAATCTTCTAAATCATTAATAGTACAAGTTATAGTAACAGTCGCACCCCGATTTAAATTATGTGTAACATTTAAATTATTTTTCACAATCGGCTCTGCGATTGAATAATGCTATTACAGCATCGAAATGATTATTTTCTACTGCTAAAAGAAGTGGCGTATTGCCAAATTCATCTTTGCAATTAATATCAGTACCGCGGTCAAGCAGTGGAAGATAGCGTTACATCATTTATTTTCAGCCATAGACGGGATTTGAAATCATGTCTGGTAAGTTCGTTGTCTCGCGCCTACGACTTGCGCCTTAGCCCGCTTGGCCAACTGTGCAACTGATAGGGATAGAATGTATTAACACTAATAAGCCGAGTGCAGTCGGAAAGTAAGTAGACGGTACGCATGCGCAGACAGCGTAGTTGTCTCACTTGCTCTCACACAGAGGCTGTGTGAGGAAATTATTTAATCCTGGCGATCCTAATCAGGATAATGAGATAAATTTATGAAATTATTATATTGTCGCTGATTCTTGATAAGTGTACAAAGTTTGAATTAAATCTGTCTGTTTAAAGTGGGTCAAAATCGAGTCCAAAGGAGTCGGTTACAAACATACAGGTGAAGCTAATAAAAGGATGTTAAAAACGGCTTTAATGGCCACTTTTGTTTGCTCTATGCCATTTAGTACTATTCTTACCCTTCATAATGCGCCTTCGAATGGTACTTTAAGATTTTCCCATCAGAAACTATGGCCATTGGAAGATGACGTAATGAGTTAGAAAGCATATGCTTGGTTTGGTGATGTTAGATTCGAGGACATGGCAGTTTAAGTGGCCGTAACTCTTGAAGGAAAAATCTAATAGCACCTTTAGAGAGTGTATTTTGAAGGATAATAATAGTAATAGAAGATACTGGAAATAATTCCAATAGATTTTTATAATTTAATCAGAAAATCTTCTTCCTCTTTTAGCTTTGAGGTAGAAAGAATATACAGTAAAACCCGCTTAAGTACCTAACCCGCTGAAGTAACCAATATTTTTGGACACCGTGAATTTTTTAATATAATCTGAAGAAAATCCCTACCGGCCTGCTTATGTACCCAACCCGCCTAAGTACCTAAATTTTTCGTGCCCCATTTACAATTTTACTTAGAATTTTCCCCTTTTGAGTGCTCTTTTAAAATTGCTTAAAATATTTACGTATTTTGAAATTCAGTAGCAGCACTACACACCTCCGGTAAAAAAAATTCTAAAAAATCAACGGTAATTTTTAGCCACTTGAAACTTGCACATTATTACACCAAAATTGAATGGCCAAAAAGCTGTATACTCAAAAAATACTTCAGAGAAAAAAGTTTGCAATTATGATGAATCTTTTTTTTAAGTGTTCTACAAAATCTTAAGATTCGGTTTATATGGTATTTGTTAGGGAATGAACTGTATTTTAATTGATTGAAAAATCTTAAAAATTAATAAATAAACATAAGTGGCAAACAATATGTATCATTTTGAATTTGGTATAAAATGATATGTCCATCTTTGACTTTTTAAACAATTTAATTCTTTTAAAAATGACATACCATTGCACTATATATTTTTTTTTAATAAAGTTTTTCTTTACTTGTTAATGTGCTGAAATATTGCTACGATTTTGGTTTTAAACTATGTATTCTTCATTAAATGTTGTTATTCAAGTATTTATGCAAGTTAACAAGAAGATGTAACTATATCAGTAATTATGTTCGCTTAAGTACCCGCATCGAGGTATTTAAGCGGGTTCTTTTAAGTACCCAACCCGCCTAAGTACCTCAAAAAGCTGACATTTTTCGTGAGGTACTTAAGCGGGTTTTACCTTAAATCTTAACTATGGGTCAATAACACGTTGAATAGCTTACAATGTTGCTTTAAATTTAGCCGTATTTCTAACTAAATAAAAAATAATTTTTTCTGAAAACTCAATTAGAAAACAAGTAATTTTTAAGCCAAAATCAAAACCGACTTAAATTCTCGTATACAAATTTAAGACTATCGTTCAGTTT